AGTTAACTCAGTGACTTGGTTCTGATGGGCAGCAGAAGAGAACATAATGGCAGCCAGCCAATAGCAAATTTAATAAACTGCTTCATATTTCCCCTGTTTACATGACCTCTGTCATTTACCAAACTTCATGGTAACAACTGCAGATTGACTGGCAAGAAGTCATACACCAAAAAGTTACATGCTCAAATAAAAAAAATAATAATAAAAAAATCACTTAAAAGTCTGCAGCCCTATGACCCAGAATACCTAGTCTATTTCAGAGAAAATTTTTTACAATTTAAGAAGTTCTAAATAAGATTTAAAAAGAGCAATTAGATTTAAGGATATAGGATTTCTTTGAACAGTGAGGCAACTTAAAGCCTTAGTCATTAGAAAAACTATACAGTCATTCCCTACCCATATGACACTTAAGTCTGCCATGCAGACTATTATTTAATTTCTCATCTGAGGTTCTATGCATATAAACCAGTCTATCAACATCAGCAGTAAAAGATTATCTCATCTGTGAAACTGTGTGTGCTTAACTTATACTTAATGCAGCCCACAGCCTTTAGGGGAAAGATAGAAAAAACAACCACCAGCCAAGTGCATAAATGACAAGAAGTAACAAGTATTCTGGTTTAAAAGCTGCTTGGATAAAGAAGCAGCTTCTAATGCATCTTCAAAACCATCCAAGCAGAATATATTTATATGGAAGAATGAGGCAGCTGCTCAGGAGCAAAATGGTCAGAAGAAAAATATCTGGAGTACTGGACAACAAGTGGAAAACCAACCTTACCCAGCACAGATATACCACATTCAAACAAGTAAAAAAAAAGCCACTATCAGAGTGCATAGTCAGTGAACAATTATAAAGCATCTTAAGATACTCTTTAATTTAAAGAGAAGGCATCCCCCATTCCAAGGGAACACACAGAAAAGGATGAACTCTACATATGAGATAACTTTCTTCCTACTCTACAGTCTGCAATATAGTATATACAGAAAAAAAAAACTTCTGGAGCACAGGGATACACTAGATTTGACTCAAATGAGCCTCGCTCACTCACTCACCCTAGCACACAAATAATGGAGCCACACGACCCCAAGTGCTGTCTACCACAGTACCACTCAGCCTGACAGACTGGGGTAGGGAACTACGGAAACACCTTTGGGCTGGCGAGTCTAAGCAGGGTCACCTCTGTGTATCCCCAAATGTCATCACACGGCCAGCTCTGGGCAGCAGTGGCCAGCTCTGGGCAGCAGTGGCCATTATGCCTGCGCTTCTCTGCTGTTCTGCACAAACCTGTTTGTTCAGGACTTTAAAGCTTCAAACTACGGCACAAGGGAAAGTCTTTAGCACATAATTAGAGCGACCTTCAGTAGGTGTTGTCTTTAACCTCTGCCCCAGGCATGCTCCAAAGCCTCTCTGCTGAGCTCAGCTGTGCCAGTGAGGCAGGATACACAGCACTGCCACACTGTACATTTGTGAGGATGTTGCTGCTTTCTTTTTCTAACACATACTTTACTGAAATATTTTTTGACCATGTTCTAACACTATAACTATCAGGATTAAGATGCCACAGAGATATCTATTCAGAGGCTTAATCCCAGCTGGTCTGCAAGAGCAAGAAGCAAGCTCCCCATAAGGCTTCCAGGTGACCTGGACTACCCTGGGCAACTGGAGTGTGGTCACATCTTCACTGGCCAAGAAGATGCATGTGGCAAGGATCCCCTCTGGGCAGGAATTGGCCAGCCTGCACGGGATGTGCTAAAAGGATGCTTTTCAAGCCAGCACTGCTTACAACTGAGGGATGCTGCTGCTCCTGTCACCCATGCAGCTCCTCCTCATGCTGCGCCTGGCAGGGACAAGAGAGCCCAACAACACAGCAGCTTCAGCATGCATGGGTTTTGCACCAGCTGGCACCTGAGCCACCCGAGCTGCAGGGCAAGCACGGGGCAGCGCTGAGACTATCGAACCCCAAAAGGCACTGGCGAGCCCGTCGGAGCCTGGGGACTGCCACATGCTCCCTGGGGCGGTGAGAAACGTGCCTGTCCAGGCAGAGCCCTCTTGTGACAGTGACTGAGCCACTCCTGGTCCAAAGGGCTGCAGCCCATCCTCTGCAGTAGCTTTCAGCTAGTAAATGACAGGCTAAAACCCAGGACTCTGACTAACAGTGGATTCCAGTAACAGCCCCCAAGAAACAAGACCTTACCCACAAGAAGGAAGGAAAGCAGACTGTGATCCACGCTGAAGAGGGGCTTGAGAGTGTTAAGGATGCTGCGGACGGCCCATCTCTGCTGCGAGCAGAGCACGGGATGCAAACAGGGACATGGACAGTGCGGGCTGGAGGGAGAGGCCAGGGGACAGCTAGGCAGAGATCAGAAAGGTTTGGGTTAGCAGGGACCTTTAAAGGTCAATTAGTCCAAGCCACTGCAGCACAGGAGTTTTCTCACTAGTGTCAGAAAACATACACTAGTTTTCTGATGTAAAACAAGACACAGAACCTTCGGAGATTGCAGGAGCTGCCTGTATATGAAGAGGCCTTCACAGATACTTAACTGGTGTTAGATTTTTATGATCTCTTAGTGACAACACCCACCTAAAAGGACAGATGCAGAGGTGGAAAAAGGAAGGACTTTTTTTTTTTTTTTTTTTTTAAACAGGATTTAGAGCAAATCCCTTTGGGACCCAGAGTATCTGACAGTACCTGGGAAGCCCCTTCAGCACAGAACTGATCCAGCCCCACTGAACCCTGCAGCACTTCCCAGGGTTGTGGCATGGGAACATGGGGGTCGGCAGCCACGCTGCCGCCAACCCTGGGCAACGTAACCCACACTTCCGTCCGTGACTCCTCTGGATGGAGGAGCTGGGCAAGCACTCACCTGAGAAGCCTGACAGCAGGAGCTTTCCAGGAACCAGGAATTAGGCAGACTTAAAAGGAACTCTGAAAAGCAGGGAAATATGTGCCTTATTTGCGTAAGAAGGTAGATATGCACCATTCCTTAAAATCACAAATTCTTTTGATGTTGGTGCCTCCTGGGCAGGCAAAAGGATAACTGCAAATTATAAAAACCAGCAAGAAGTGACAAGTTACTGCCTCTCAGAGCAAGAGAAAATAAAATACCCAAGATAGCCCCGACAATCCCATTATCGACCCCATTTATCACCCAAGCAAACAATGCCAGACAAGAAGCCAAACCGATAAAAAGCTTAAAATACCAGAACTGAAGTTTTTACTGACGCTTTGAAAAGCAATGATTTGCTTTACTGCCATCTAGTGACAACTCAATGCGGTTCCTACCACAACGATAACCACAGAAAACAAGTTTAGATCCGCAAAAGGGATTCAGTAATTTTATCCTGTCTTCATTCCCACGTGAGAGGCAGTCAGGTCTGGTGTGGTTGCCGAGATCTGAACTATTTTGTCAGTTCTCCTACTAAAACTTGTAAACAAAGTGAGGCATAGAAAAATTAATGCATTTGCATACTGCAAGAGTAAAGCAATCATCTGGAATGCAGTCTGAAAAATAGGTATTGTCAAAATTTCTTTGAACAATGTCAAAACACTATAATGACACCACAGCATCAGTGAGATTCTGCAGTTTTCCAGCGTTCTCTGTAGGCAGGCTTCTAAAGCTCTTCACTCAAAACCATGGGAAAGGAACAGGAACTTACAATTTCCACTCCCATTTGCTGGATACATTACAGTTATACACACATCTCTTAATTACATATGAAACTTTTTTACTTCAAGAAGTGAGAGGTGATAAATTCCAATCTCAGGCATCACCATAGAAATGTCCAAGACCAAAAATAAACAAAGACAAAATCAAAGCAAAGGATGTTGGGAATATGGTCAACAGCCTTTACCGAGGAGTGAAAAAGCAGCTGTAGCTGACAAAGGTGTGAAGCCATCGAACCAGCATGTTCTGGCAGTCAGGAGACAAACTTCACCCACTGCGGTTTGCAAATACTTGTGCACTAACCTATTTTTAAAGCCAAGAAGGGTGGTGTAGAAATACCAGCCTGGAGATGACCAGATCCAGTACCATTTTAAGAGAAGAACATTATTAGTGAGGTTGGTAGAAGGTCACAGTCCAGGATTTTGCAAAGGTTTAGTCCCAGTTTTTTTCGAAGAATTCAAAATAAGGAAGAAAAGATTTAAAAAGCTGGAATCCAACACATTTTTACAGAAGTTAAACTTGAACCAAAGTTTGCTGGGACAAAAACCCCACAAGATCACACAGCTAAAGGACAATAAAGACAGTGCCCAGAAAATGTGGGATGAGGTGTTTCAGTTGGGACAAGGAGCCCAAGCACCATGAAACCGGCAGTTATTTGACCTGGAGCAGATACAAAGAGGGGCTGGTATCTGCAAGTCTTACAAAAAGGCAAGAAGGGTTTGGGTTTGTTTCAACACTAAGTGAAGTCTCAGTAGAGCAAGAGACACATGCAGAGGGCTCAGAATCAGAGATGAGATGGGTTCTTTAAATGGAAGGCACTGGTACAAGAATAAACAAGGCAGAAAGTGGCCACAGAGACATTCAGGACGGAAATTAAAATAACATGGCTAAACATTATAGCATTTGTCAGTGAGGTAGAGGAAGGGAAACAGTTTCTGCAGTGAAACCGACAGGCTTGCTAACACTACCATGGCTTGGACTGCCTGCCCCTAGGCAGCAGAGGCTTCTTGGAGAAGAAGAATCCTTACATTTCACCTCGAAGTGAAGAGGTGGCAGTGAAGGCCTTGACAGCAGCATAGATGTGCAGCACCCAGAGATCTGCCATCAGCACACCCCAGCCCTTTCACCAGGAATTCTGGAGGAGGCACATTCCACAAAGGCTCTCTCCATGCTGGGCCGAGAAAGGTGGGGTCTTTTCGTTTGCTTTGGGTTTAATTCCAATCTTTTTTCCCCAGAAGGTAGTGCTGCCACAGCCCATGCCACATCCTGGATCTACAGCCACCTGTCAGACTCCTGAAGAGCACTTCAGCTGAAAACCTACAGCAATGCAAATGATGGGGTACAACTTGTCTTATGGAAAACTGCCAGGTAAAATAACATTAGAAATTTAAGTGATTGATAATTGTTTATTGTATTACTATCAGTTCCCACCAACATTTTAAAGCAGTCAGACCTTTCAGAAAAGGCTGTCTAAATACTACCAAGTGCTGCCCCAGGAGTGTCAGTCCTGGTTTACCATACGAGCCAAGTTCAGAGTATAAACAATTTGAAATTGTTTGATGAAAGAATTGATGTCTGAAGTTTTTTCACAAACATTTACACATGAGATCTTAAAATCCCCAGAGACAGTTATTTTTAAACACATTTAAGTAAGCCAAGTTTTAAGTTAAGTGTCTTAATAGGCCCAAAGAGTTTCCCTGGAGTCCTGTCTCTCGATAAACAGATACCTCAGTGCATGGGTTGTGTTCCGACACAACAGCCGAGAGCTGACCGGCTGCAATTTTGATGGATAGCTCGCTCCCTGCACGCTGGTACGCGGGGGCACCTCCCCGCACCCTGACAGGAGAGCAGCGACCAGACCACAGACCTCAACCCATGACTCATGGTTTTCCACACTGGTTCATCTGAGCAGCCTCTGGAATTGCCCAGAGATAGAATGTTTTTCCAGAGAGCAGTTCTATTTGTTAAACCCCAGAAACATACTTTAAGCTTGCTGTTTTCCTTTTTTCCCACAGATGATCGCCTGAGCCAGGACAACAGCACCTCACCCAACTCCACAGCAGGCTTACCTGGGAACTCCACCCACAATGAATTCACCACCATCGTCCTGCCTGTGCTTTACCTCATCATTTTCCTGGCGAGCATCTTGCTGAATGGCCTAGCTGTGTGGATTTTTTTCCACATCAGAAATAAAACTAGTTTTATATTTTACCTCAAAAACATTGTGGTTGCAGACCTTCTCATGACACTGACATTCCCGTTCAAGATAATCCAGGACTCGCAGCTAGGACCATGGCACTTCAACTCTTTCCTGTGCCGATACACCATGGTGCTGTTCTACACAAACATGTACACCACGATTGTCTTCCTTGGACTCATTAGCATTGACCGCTACCTGAAAGTAGTGAAGCCTTTTGGAGACTCCAGGATGTACAGCATCACGTTCACCAAGATCTTATCGGCCTGCGTTTGGGTTGTGATGGCTTTCCTGGCTTTGCCAAACCTGATTCTCACCAATGGCTACCCAACAAAGAGGAACATAGACGACTGCCTGAAGCTGAAGTCCCCACTGGGAGTCCAGTGGCACACAGCTGTCGTTTACATCAACACCTGCATGTTTGTGGTGGTGCTGGTAGTGCTGATAGGATGTTACATTGCCATATCCAGGTATATTTATAAATCGAGCAAACAATTCATTAGCTCATCAAGCAGAAAGCGAAAGCACAATCAAAGCATAAGGGTTGTCGTGGCTGTATTTTTCACTTGCTTTCTGCCATATCACTTGTGCAGAATACCCTTTACTTTCAGCCATCTAGATAAAATCTTAGACGACTCTGCACACAAAATCTTATATTACTGTAAGGAAATGACACTGTTCCTGTCTGCATGTAATGTCTGTCTGGATCCAATAATTTACTTTTTCATGTGTAGATCATTCTCACGAAGGCTGTTCAAAAAATCAAATATGAGAACCAGGAGTGAGAGTATTCGATCGCTTCAGAGCGTTAGAAGATCAGAAGTGCGCATATACCATGAGTACACTGATGTCTGAAGTCACCCGCCCAGAGACTTTTGCTCATTATGAGAATATTTGTATATCATGTAAATAAAACATGTCTTTGAGTACCTGACCATGGAAGTTCATTAAGGAATGTGCATTCATGTACAGCTTTTCCACTCCACCTCAAAATTCAAAAGCTTAAATCTGCACAGAGATCAGGTTCACTTCAAAGGTTGATTGGTTGTTGGGTCTTTTTTTTAAAGGTCAACAGAAACTAAGGGTGCCCCAGCTCAGAAAGCAACCTGGAGCTCCAGGAGTCTCCAGCCTAGATGGACAAAAGCTCTGGCCTCGGAGCAGGATCCAGTATCCCCGGGATCTGGCAGATGGCTGCTGAGGGGCTTGTGCGGGGGCAGGAGTGGGGAGAAGGTGGCACATGCTCCTGTGGAGACGCTCAGTTTGCCCATGGGCAGGGAAGCTGCAGGGCTTGGTCTGTGGATGATTTGCCACCAATCAACAGCATCTCAGCTTTTCCTTTCAGGAAACCATCTTGTCCACAGATCAAACCTACCAAAGTGCTTCTCACCCTTTTCAAAATACCAGAAGTAAAAAATTCAAACACAACTCTCCTTCAAGTCTCTTCTCAAAAAAAAAAAAAAAAAAAAAAAACAAACACACACACCCTCCAAACCACACAACACCAAGTCAACCACCAAAAAAAAAAACAAGAAACCAAATCCAAAAAACAACAACACAAAACCAAAGGAAAAGACCGTTAAAATGGCCTTTAATTCCCATTAATCTAATGCTAAGTGAGAACACAACAGAAAATAAAATGTCCCTTGACAGAGCAATCAACACAAATTAAGTTTCCCAGCACTTTCTACACCAGTGTAATACAACAGGAATAAAACTTAAAGCATTAGGAATTTTTTGTTCAAAATTATTTATACCTTTGGGTGTTTTCAAGTCTTAGAAATAATAATTGTGTGCGATAAGCAGATGAAATTCATTTTTGGAGAGCAGTTCAGGCAACACCTTCACGGTATTGTTTTACACTGTGGTACGTGCAACCAGAGCAGCGGAAATATTGAAGGAGAGCATCCAAAAATCAAGGCAAGAAGAAAGGAATAATAAAAGACCAACACAGCAGCTGCTGCATGACAAAGTGCTGACTAACAACTTCACTATTTAAAAGAAGAAACCAAGTCCTGGAGAGCATCCACTAGAGCTGATACTGGCTGGGACACCTCAGGTCATTTCAGTGAGATTCTGGCAGGCTTTGCACCACAGAAGTGGACGGTAGCTCCAGATTTGTTTATAACATGGGCAGAAGAAACCAAAACCACTTGTCACAACAGCTTGTGCAAACATTCCCAGGCTGGTTTTCCACCAGCTCATCCTGGCCAAGGAGGGCAGGGTGGTGAGGGCCACGACTGGGTCCAGGGCTGCTCCAGAAGCTCCTCCATCCCAGGACGTGCTGCAGGGACCTCTCAGGGTAAGGCAGAGGCAGAAAGACAAAGAAGGCCACTGCCCACCAAATGAGTGCCCCAGGTGCCTCCACACTCCCAGGAGCCCAGAGCAGCTTGCAGGCCCTGGCGCCTCTTCCCTCACCTGCAGACTCCCCAGCACCTCGGGCGACCAAGGAGGGACCAGCCACTCAAGGCCGTGAGGATGGGTTTGGATTAAAACCTGTGGAGGGAACAATGTTTACATGAATCAGTTTGTCCCGTACTTCACCAGGGATTAAATCAGATTTGTTTAGAGTAAAAGCTGCTTGTACAAAAAATAAACAGCCAACTTCAAAAAAATGTAGATTGTAAGGAGCTTACAAGAGTTTTGAGGAATCAACTTTTAGACATCTTATGCAATGTAGTGCAATTGAACAAACAGAAGATGGCAACAGTCCATCATCAAGTGCCTTATTCATATAAGGACTTGCCTTTTAATATAGAAAAAAGATGCTTTGAGAAGAAACTCTTGGAAATGCAGCATTCAAACAAGATAAAATACTGCATGGGACCACCTTTGATTGAATTTTCTACTGAAAAAAGGGGGTTTCTTTTTCTTTTTTAATACTATTAGTTTAATATCAGATTGTGTTTTATGTATAATGAAAAAGTTGAAGTCTAAGTATCATAATATTTGGATTATATATTTGGATTAATGCAAGTATTATAAAAACAGTTTCATCATTCATTTCTGGAAAATACAACCGCATATTTCAGATATTTATCCTACTTTACAAATATTTTAAGTGGCTAAAATATCACCCAATAAATCCTTTTTTTTTCCAATCAACTCTGTAGAAAACCATGTTCACACACCATGTCAAGGACTGGTTCTGGGATCAAGTTTGCCATTTCATACTTCAGGGGTCTACGCACATACAACACCATGTGAGAAGAACCATTCTGGGAACTGGGTTGCACAGTTTAAATTCTCATAAGCAGCAAATTAAATGGACCAGCCTATCAAGTTGGGTTTCTGAAATAGTCATATTTAGGACTGCCAGATCAGTTATGTACACACAGACATTAATAACAAAAGACTCTCTTATTAGGTCTTATATGGTTAAAGAAAATCAAGACTGAATGCTTCTGGTTTCCATTTTATGACTCAAGTAAAAGTAAATCACGGAAAACCTTATGGCTTCTTAAACTGTGCTGTGATGAATTCATCTACACACACACCCCCACCAGCCCTGGTCTCTGCTTGGGGCTATTCTCCTTCCAACACCATTGCAACACCTGCACGGCCACAGGAACAGGCAGCTACAGACGGCTCCTCTTCTCCAGGAAGGGAGATTGCTACACAAAACCTTCCCACAACCAGATTTCTGATAGGTGAGGCTGCACCTTTCTCCCACCCCACTCCATGCCCTCCCCTCCACGAGTACATCACCCCACCGTGAGGCTCCTGCTACCGCTTGTCGCCTGACATGCCCTGGGGGCTTGGGGTGCAACACAGATGGGTATCAAACTCCTACTTCCTTATAGCCTTCTCCAGTATTAATCTTTTGAGTTGAGTTTTTCTGCGTACTACAAACCTAGCCTGATTTACCCAGAAACGTTAATGGTTGCACTTGATCTTAAAGGTCTCATCCAAACAAAACAAATCCATGATTCTAAGATCTTTTGCCTTCCATGAAGACATGCAGGCCCACTACAAGAGGTTTTACATCTGCTTGGAGAGAGAGGCTGGACTCTGCAGCCTGACGGAACGATTGCATCCCTTACAGATGGAACTACAGCCAAGCCTGTTACTATCCGCAGAATAACTGTGCCACAGATGAAGGTGGCTCTTCCCACTGCTCAGAAACTGTCACCACTTGCACCGTTGGAACTGAGGCTCATGGACCTAAGGCTGCTAGATCACAGCCAGGCTATGTGTTTCTACCAGTCTCCTGCTGCCTGGTTTCATTACCAGCAGTGCTCCAGCTCCTCCTGACCATAAACAGGCAGCTGACTCTATGCCCCACAAACTTTACTGAGCTGACTCCTGTCAGAAACAGGTCACAGAACAAGCACAAGCCTCCTAGGATTAAATTCAAATATCCTGATTACCAGACAATATTTCTAATATATAGTGTAGTGGAGTTTTCTAATATATGTACACATACACGCACTCTATAGTATTCATCATATATATGCAAAGCAAGAAAGCTTGAACACCTCTCAGAATCCTGACCTCCTTCCTTATGGATGGTGGACTTCCCAACCAGCTCCAGCAAAACCCAAAGAGCTACATCAGTGGAAACATCCCCGTCTGTCCCTCACCAGGGACACATGGGACAAGTGAGCACTCAGGCTACAGATCAGGTGTACAGGACTTGGGACTCTCCCGTCACACAGCAGTGGAGCCTGTAGAGCAAATGAAGCTCAGTGATGGCTGAAAACATGACCAGATGGCCACCCACATCTCTTCCAGCATGCTCCATGCTCTCCTCACAGGCTGCACACACACATACACACTACACTTTCTCACTACCCACTTAGTTTTTAACTGAAGGTTACATCCACACAGGATTTCCTCCTAGGAGAAAGAGGACTGGTGTTTCCTGGTAAGAATTTTATACCAAAGTATCTTTTACTGAAAGCCACTGCAGACAGGCTGATGTCCTTCAAAGAACTGCCTACAGATACCCTTTCCAGAGGACCAAAGAGAGAAAGCAACCAGTACCAGCAGCTTCTGGGAAATGTGGCCCCACAAGGGAGCATTGGGGCACCCAGACAAAACCTGGCCCTGGGAAGGGGAGACGCAGCCATGTGGCCCCAGCGCCCTGGCCAGCCAGGACCTGCTCTGAAGCCTGACGACTTGGATGCCTACAAGACTTTGCTGTATAATCACACCCAAAATAAGTTTACTTTTTCTTGACAGGCTGTATCTGTGATAATCCTCTATCACTGGTTTATACAGACGCTTACATATACAACAGTTCTTTGAAGATGCTGTTTGTGAAATATTTTCCCAGGGCCAAAAATGAATTATAAAACAATATCCTAGTCCCTAAATACCAAATAGATATATTTAATTTGACATGGAATTTTGGTCTTTTAAAGTTCTTCTTGAAAGAAGAAAGTACAAGAAGATAGGGGTTATTGTGGAAGAATATTATTTGAACATGTACTTAGAGACAGCTCCAGGCCGCTACCTGTGCAAGACTTCTGTCACTACACATATCATGCTTTTTACTTTCGAGGTTTCTCTAGCAATAACCCTTACCGTGTTCTTCCACCTGTGCAGCTTCCTAGGCATCTTAAAAAAAGGAAACTAAACCCCCAAAAGTTCTAAAAACGCCTCTTATGTATTGACGCACACCAAAATCTCATGAATTAAGCAATCTAATTGCACAATCACGGCTGGGTTTATTCAAATGTGAGTCAGCCCCATTCCTCTGCTCCCCCCACTGGACCCAGTGCCACCCTGTAAGGTAAAATGTTTGCACTGGGAGCGACAATGCTTGCGTCTGAATGTGGCCAGAGACCTGATGACAAAGGTTCAGACAGATTCTTGTAAGGCTGCAGAAGGCTACTCAACAACAATGCACAGACATCTACCCATCAGCTAAAGAGAAGTAGGCAGTAAGCATTTGCCAGCAGTTTTGACTGGGTAAAAAACA